CATCTAGGATAGCGGACTCCACATCCGCCCATGCAAAACGTTCATTTTGCCACCTGAAGCGGGTTTCGACCCCGCTGAGAGAGAGCGCTTATCTCAACCGGCAATCAGCGCGGAATTAACGTTACAATGTTATCGTATGACGCAACAAACTAGGCTTGTGATGTACATGCGCGAGATCAGAGGTTACGGTTAAACTTGCATACGAATGCTGGAAATATTTTTGAATTGTTACATTTGAGTGTATGTGTGTGTGTGGGGGGGGGGAGGGAAGGGGGTCGAATGTCTTAATATTCTTTATTTCTTTAAATCCCTTTTAGTGAAACGCAACCGACACATATATTTGCGATCTAAGTTTGAAATATGATACATACTTGCCATCTGTGTTGTTAGAGTTTTAAACTCCGAAACCACAAAGAATAAAAGTTAAAATAAAATACTATAGTATAATTGTCTTCCAGGATTTTCCTTATTTTACGTTTCGTATTATTTCGTGATCAACCCGCATCTCCTTCATTCGTTCCATGTATTCCATGTGGGCCAAGGATGAGTCGGAATGAGATACCCGTTATATTTATTTTGAAGAAAGAAAGTTTATAGGTTCAATTGGCGGTAAACGTCATCTCTTTTGTTATGATAATGTAATCGGAGCAAAGCTCAAAGGCACATTCGACGACGGAAGAACTGCGAAGTATGCATTGTCGCAATTGAGCGGTCTTATTACGACAATTACATCAAGACGATATGCACTGTGAAGACCTTGAAATTAAAATAACCAATATTATTTTTTTTTATTCGCGAAAGGATCAATCTTCAATCAATAGAAGAATAAGATGTGTCTATATATACATATACGTACATTGCATGTTAAAATATAGGACCGCCTCACAAATTTCACGATTTACTTAATTGAAAAATGTATCCTAATTAAACGGCTTACGCTCCAACTCGCGTACTATATTCAAAGCATAAGTGTAAATCCGCGTGTTTACTAGTGGAATAAATATATAAAATAATTTTAACGTGAGAATGTTTCTTTCTTTCAAAAATTTGTTTACACTTTTTTTACGCATTTACATGAAAACAACATGATTAACAACGCTAAAATTCCAGCAATGACGGTATAAAAAAAAATGTACTTATACGATCTTTATTCCTCGTCGGATTTTTTGCGTCTCATTCATAACCAGAATCAACATTACGTAAAGATTTTTTTACGTAAAGATTCTGAATGACAGTGACGAAAGTCGCGGCATATAACGTTCATGCAAAGTTCAGCCGATCTACGCCTGATAATGTCTTATTCATGCGTGATAACGGGGGGCGTAGGTCGGATTGCAACTTCGACGCCTCTGTAGCGTATCTAAATTGCGAGCGTTTCGTCATTCTCTCTCTCGGTCGTCTTGTCTTCTTTACGTCACTTCGTCGCTCGCCTCGAGATGCTGGTGCGATATTTTGCGCCGCTTTCTGCATAATTCAGTCGGAGCAACGTATAAACGGGGTTAAAATATCGTCAGCATCCGTTCGGGAGGACCGAATCGCCGTCGCCGTGAAATTTATGAACAACAGTATAGGGTGACAAAAATATTCTACTTAATTGTACGCGCAGATATTGCGTATTTTCGTAATTTTACGATTTATAAATACGTTCTACAACGACGAGAAAGAGAGAGAGGAAACTCGTGCAGTGATACGCCGTGCTAAGACGAGAGAAATTATTTTCGCCCTACGCGCGGCATAAACGACTGTGTAGATTTATCGGTGGAACTGACGAACGCGTCTCTCTGGAGCCGCTTTGGACAGATGATGCGTCGGGTCGCGTCGCGACGACATTTGTACATTTTACTCGTCGGCGAGTTGACGGACGAGAGGCGACGACCGCGGCGTCACGGATTCCGCGCGTGGTCTTTTTTAAGCGAAGCTTGCACCGCTGCACATGTTTGGCAATTCATAAATTGGTCTTTATTGCATGGAATTACGGGGCTTTACAGCTGCTTCTTTAAAAACTGGTTTTGCATTTTGTAGAAAAAAATAAGTATATTATATTGAAAAATAAGACTATAAATTTTATTTTAAATATCAGAGAGATATAGTAGAATTACATGTTACATGTTAAATGTTACAGGCTATTAATAAAAAACAAAATTAAAATTTGTATTTGAACATTTCTTCGCATTTTGGAATGTTTATTCACATCGGATTATTAGAAATTGAAGAGCAACTGTGATCTCTATTTCATCTTCAGCTAATGATTGCATTGCAAATCTGACATTGATTCGACGCGCGTTTAAGTGGATGAATAATGGATTTAAAAATTCATATAGAAATATTAATAGGCACTAAGATCCAGCCGTGATCGTATAGAAGACGTTCTCAAATTTATTTGTGATATTCACTTACACGGTCTAGTTCAAATTACTATTGTTTATATGTTAAAATTGGACATTTATATATTGTATGATAGTGATATATTTATTAATGTGATTGACATTATTTTTAATTTATATTTTTTTTATACAAAAAAAACAGTATGTTATTTTTACACTTTAAATAAATCACAATAATTAAGAATCAATCGCTGGTGCTTCTTATTTGCAAGTTTTGGTCCACGCCTCGCATCGTCTATCGGCAGTAAAGAAGCACGTCAGCGCGCTCAAATGGCGTGACGAAATTCGCCGTGCCCAATTCCGCCCCGACGAGACGCGATGGTTGTTTTATACCCTCCGAAGATACGACCAGAGTTCAGACGTCGCGGCGGCATCCGGGCGCCGACGAGTCTGGACTTTTCAAGCGTATAACGGCCCCTGCCCTCTCTCGTCCTCTGCCCGTCGCCCATTCCGCTTTTCAGACGTAATCCCCAAGTTGATATAGACTGCACGCAAGGATCCGTAACTTTGGCACATTCGTCGATGTTGCACCAGCGTCGGAGCGAGGCGCGAAATTTTACTCAATAATTACTTACGTTACATGTAAGGCCGTAAACCTTCCATCTATCCGAATATAGCTCGCAAAGAATGTTTTGAGTAAATAAATTTGTAAATGTTTGTTACGCGTTAATAAAACTTTGTTAAAGTAAAATTGATTGTCTGTTACAATTTTAATATTCAAATCAAAAGTCACGTAAATTTATTAATGTATAATTTAGTATCTATATGATGCACAATAAAATATGTGATTTCTATCGTTATTCAAATCAAAAGTCACATAAATTTATTAATGTATAATTTTTGTATCTATATGATGCAATAAAATATGTGATTTCTATCGTTACATGTTTTCAAATTAAAATACAGAATGCTGTCAAAATAACATAATAAAAATAAGAAAAGCTCGACATTCGATTCTGAGATCGAATAACATGGCCGTCCTCTAGATGATCTCATTCATATCCAGTTAATCGCTTTTCTATAGACAATCTTATACAAAATGAGTCACGCTTCGCTTAGCAAACTCTAATCTTTTCAGGTCGAATGCGCTTAAATCGCGAGTCATTGTGCACATCGGCGTCGTAGACATTCTGCCAAAGAGACCCCGATGGCGTTTCTTCCCATCGCTTAGCTAATGTTCGTAGAAACCGGAAGTACCTCCGACCCGCCTCTCTCGCACCGTGCCGCGCGCTATCGCGCGCGGCCGTAAAAAGGCGCCTTCTCGATCGCCGCGCGAGAGCCCAGCCGCGCGCGGGGAGATAAGATCGGCCGGTGCTCCGCTGCCTGAACACGTCCGTTACCTCCGTAACCCCTTGGGACCCTCTATCGCCCTACGCCACCTCACCTTGATAACGACACGATATCGCTCATGGTACTTAACAGTGCGTGATAAATATGAATGCGTTGTTGCGCGCAATTTCTTGTCGCGTGAGACGGACTAGAGTGACGAAAAATGATCTAGATCAAAGGTATCTAAAGAGGGTCAGAAAAGTATGTAGGAAAAATTATGATGAACAAAATATTTAATTAAAATAGGCCTTATTTACCGCGCCGAAAACTCTCATTATCCTTTTGTTCCTATTTTAATTGACAATTTCGAGAGTTTATTAATATTGACAGATATTTAAAATTTTTATATTTTTAACTCAGGCCTTAATCCCTCAGATCAAACTGCAGAAGTGACCCACGAGTTCGCGCCGGATGCGCTGAGGGGTCATACGTGTGTATGTACAAGAGGAAACCCCTCCCCTCCTTTCTTTTTCTTTTCATCTAACACTTTGTGAAATACAATGCATTCACGGTTGCGTATCGTCATGATTATTTTCTAAACGGAATGCCATTGTGTGGCATCGGCACTTTCTAGATGTAATGTCGAGCGCGAATGTTATTTATATGCCGGCTGATTCAGGAAAATACGGCGCCGCTTGACGATCAGATACTTGAGACAATCTGAGAAGTTTTATTTATTCGCTTACGCGTATTTTTATTAGCCTTTCACAACAATGTTTGTCATGAATTCTTAATGTAGACAAGGAACAAACACGTTTCAAATGGCAACAAATTGTTGATGGTGAAGGAATACATAATCAATTGGAAAGGTCTTGCGAAGTTATGTATAATACACCTGACGCAAGATACTACTTTGTCTCTCGTTTAGCTATTTTTAGCTATTCTAATTGGTTCGGCTTATTTTCCATTGGAAAATTTATCAAAGACACGAGATTTATAAACGATAAAAATAGATCTGTTTTCGAATAACATCATGATTACAGCTGCATAAATAAAAAAAAATGTTTTGAAGGAAGCGAAACAAAAAAGATTGAGTAAGTGACTGAATGAATGAATGAATGAATGAGAGAGAGGGAGAGAGAGATATGAGTTCAAGTTTTAATTGCTACATCATTGTTTTTTATTAGTTTTTTTTCAATCTGTCTAGCGTTTCCAACTTATTGTTAGCATAATGCGATTATTTCTAAGCAAATTATTATTTTATTACTTCACGGACCGATCGGCCGTGACTAAATTAATTCATTTTTAACGAGCAATCTCAATAGAGCACACCGATGTCTGTTGCAGGATGCGAAGGTCACGATGCTGAGACCCGGATCCGTAGTGGGTCTGCTGGCCCTCGTGGCCATGCTGAAGATCGCGGACTCGAATCGCTGTCTGACAATGCTGGAAGGTAAATCGCCGGTCATTATCGCCTGGCCCGATCGTAGCGGCTCAATTACGGCGCATTTGTCAGTCCCGAAGACGCGGTATCATTGCCACGCAATCGGTGAAACGGCGCCATGTGGAATAACCCGCTAATTGACGCCGATGGTTAGGCGCGGCTTGAACATTAATTGAATCGCTCTCTCACGATTCATCCGCGCACGATCACTCCGTCGATGAGTAATTAGTTATATCTTGCGGCGTATAATTAGGAGCTGAATGCATTCCGTATGCGTTAATGCCGCGTAGTTTACTCGCTTATTATCGAGCGCTTAAACATAGTCATCTCGCGGATTGGCAACGGCCGGAAACGTTCTTGCCCCGGCTACGTGTTTTTCTCAGATGTTTACATTGTACGGTATGGACGGTAGAGCGACCTTGTGTTTCTGCACATGCATTTCTACATACGCACTTCTACATCTCGTGTATAAGATGTAAATGCGGTTCTACACGATGATTTTCATTTCACTAATCATACAGCTAATCTTGTAATTTTTATTATACCCAATCAGATCGTGTTTTTTCCTCTCGGTCGATTCCTCTCGATTATTCAAAAGATTTTAATTTGAAATTTTTTCACAGAGGTCAATCCAAAGAGAGAGATCCATCACGAGGGTTATTTCATGAACATTCAGTTCGAAGTGTCGAGAAGAGTGACACAGAGATTGGCGTCGGAGATTATGAAGATCTTTTTGACCGAAGTATTGGGCTACAATGGAGTCGTCATTGTCGAGAAGGATGACAATTTCAACGCGTCCGAAGTCTTCGGGAGACTGTCCGAAAAGCCAACGTACAACTACAAAATGTAAGACAAATTGACAATTGTAGACATTGGGTAACAGTAAACTTGAATTTGCATAGCACTCCTTGAATATCTTACGATCTTTCTTTTTCGATTCTTGAATTGTAACGAAGATTGCAGTTTTTCGAACATTTGTTTTTCAATGAATTCGTAAATAGATATTATCACTCTTTTATGATAGTTGCACAAGTTAAATGGAATACAAAACTTCGATATACTCGATGTATACTTAATATAAGAATATGCCATTATATTATTATTGTCAATGGCCAAAATAATATCTGACTAAATTAATGATCGAGAACACGTACAATCTCAAACATGCTCTTCTTCGTTGACCGATTACATTCTATCTCTACATGCAGCAATGCTTTCTTCGCCAAATATTCAAAATGTATTTATCGACAGCAACTTGTGCATCGAATATTTCAAAACATTTAATAATGTTTAGTTCCATGCAAGCTTCAAGCAAACTGTATGTTCTTCTCGGAACACAAGGTATATTCGTATTGCGAACGTTGCAAATAAATTTATTAAATTCTTTTCGAGTTGTCCGCTTATACTTCGATGTCATTTTGAGATGTACCAATTAACAACATTTTTCTGACGGTATGTCAGTGTAAATATAGTTATAAAATAAAGTATATAGTCAATTAAAACATTTGGCAATCACAAGAAGATGAGAAAGTAGAAGATGAGATATATAAAGCTTTTAAATTCAATCTTTTCTCGTTTTCTTTTTGATGTAATAAACGATTATAATTATAGGTGTTGTAAATTATTGACGATTCTGTGATATGTATATTTAATATCTCTTCTTTGACAATATGGGCGAAAGATTGAACCACTGTAACCTGTAACTAACAAACTCACGTCATTTTCAAACTCCGCCGAAGAAATGTACGCGCGTTTAAACCAAGCGATTAATATTCCTGTCTCAATCACAGATTTCCAGAAACGATGGTGAACATGGAGGTGTGGATTCCGCCGCAGCAGGACACGTCGCCGCTGCTGAGCAAATACGACGTGAGGGAATGTGGCTCGGTAGCGCCACCGGGTCACTTCGGCTGGTTCGTTCCGGAAACGTTAGCCAGGCTCGATGATAGTTGGCGGGTCTTTACCAAGCTGGAAACTGCCAGCAGATTCGCCGTCAACGAGGAATACCTGCCGATCGTCAAGAAGTTTATGATAAACGCGGACACGGGGGATTATTATTGCCATGAGGCCTTCTGCCAGCACGGAATGTACATCCCGGAACAATGTCACGGCCAAGGCCAGCAGAGGCCGCCGAACTGCGCGCTACTGCTAGCCGAATACTCTGATGTAACGCGTTTCATAAAGGAACACATTGATCAGCTGAAGCTCTACGTTAAGGTTGTGTGGGTGGGTCCGAATCTCAGGCATCTGACCAAATATTTGATCAGGGAATACATGCAATTCGCGCAGAACTCGTCGGCTTCCATCGACAACAGGTACCGATCTGTAGAATACGTAATTTTTTCTTCGGAACGTCGACCGATAATCATGAGTACTGTAAGAAACGAGATTGTAAAGTTTTATAACCAAGTTTCTTCCAGATCGCTGGTGATCCTGCACTACACGCCCAGCAGCGTGATTCCGAACGAAAAGGAATTCACGACGATCGACTTTCCACGTTGCGAAACGAAGAATTCGATCGGCTGTGCGTACGAGTCGAACAGGCTGACAAAGCTGGTGTGGAGTAAGTTGCAAACGATCGCGAAGATCGCCTTTCAGGCGATATATCGCGCCAAGTTCAGCCGAGAGATGTACGAGGATTTGATCACGCGTCGTACACGAGCGTCTGTCAACGTCTCGGACGAGCAAATCGCCTGCGATTGGTTGAAGGATAATCTGAACTATACCCTAACGCAATGGAAGCCCAACAACGACGACAAGAACACCCTGTTCGTGGGTGGTATATTTCCCATGAGCGGCAACTCCTACATGGCCAAGTCGATCGTGATCGCCGCTAAGATGGCGAAAGAAGTCATCAACATTAACAACACCCTGCTGAGAGATTACAACTTGACGCTGTTAGCCAGCGACGGCCAGTGCAAGTCGGATATGGTGATGAAATCCTTCATCGACTACATCATACATAATTATTATCAGAAGTTGGTCGGCGTGCTGGGACCAGCTTGCTCGGAAACCGTCGAGCCGTTGGTCGGTGTGTCGAAACACTATCGAACGGTGATAATCAGCTACAGCGCCGAGGGATCCAGCTTCGACGATCGCACGAAATACCCATATTTCTTTAGGACCATCGGCGAGAACAAGCAGTACAAACATGTCTACGTGCAGCTTTTGCAGAGGCTAGGTTGGCATCGAGTGGCTTCACTGACGGAGGATGGACAGAAATACACCGAGTATATATCGTACATGCAGGACATGCTCAGGGACAACAGCATTGATTTTGTGGCGAACGTCAAGTTCCCGAGGGAGCGAGAAGTTGACATGATGACGAAAGTAGGTTAAATTTCAATTCGTGATAATTAATTATTTGTTTTGCATAGAAGGTAATAAAAGCAATAAAATACTATTAAAAATTGCTAATTGAAATGTTTATGAATTATATAATATTTAAATAAAGCAGAAATTGGAATTTTAATATTTCATACAACATTTACACAAAGAAGATAAATATCTGAACTATAAAAAATAATTCTACGATATTAATTTTCAGTATTTGCAAGGTTTGAAAGAAAAACGGGCAAGAATTATTATCGCAGACGTGTATGGTGAAGTAGCTCGTCAAGTTATGTGCGAAGCATATAAACTAGACATGACGGCAGTTCAGGTAATAATTATAAATTATATCATTTCGTCTGTTTTTTAAATAAATAGTATAAAAGTGTAAAATTAAAGATATAAATTCGGTAATTTGTATGTTCTAAGTGATTCTTGTTTTAAAGGGCTACGTTTGGTTTCTTCCACTTTGGCTCCGACCGCAATGGTACGATACCGATTATTACAATCAAAAGGGCGAGCAGGTACCCTGCACCACGAGCGAGATGATGAAGGCCATAAACGGACATCTCGGCCTGTCGCACGCGTACTTCGCCCGGGACGACGATATAATGCAGGAGGGAATCACGGTGCGCGAGTGGCGCGATCGTTACGAGAACATCTGCCGAGCGCAGAAAATGCAACCCTCTAACTACGCCGGTTACGCCTACGACGCCATGTGGACTTACGCTTATGCTATAGATCGACTTATCCATGAGAACCAGAGCTATGTCTTCGATCTTCACAGCGACCATACGGTCAATCGTCTCACGCATATTATCAGCGAGACCGATTTTTATGGGGTTAGTGGAGCTATCGATTAGTTTATTATATAGCGACGTAAAAAAAAAAAAATATATAGATATATATAGGATAGCTGTCATAATCGCTTCCTGCAAATTTTCATTAAAAGATAACTCGATATATCGAAGAATTCTTTTGCAATATCTTTCGATCACCGGTACATATAAACAATCGTGATAATCACGTATTTTTATTCTTCAGGTATCTGGAAGAATAAAATTTCTAGGTGGGCCATCGAGATACTCTGTTATCAATATTGTTCAATTTATCGATAACGAGACGAATATTGTTGGTAACTATTATCCGAATATCTCGGAAGCCAAGCACGAAGTAACAGGCGGTACTTTGGACTTGAATATTTCGGCTTTCGTATGGTTATCGGAGACGATGCCTGATGACGGTTCCGAGCCTCCATCAAGATGCGTCTTAGGAGGATTGGCGGAACTGTTAGATGTTTCTTGCGAAGTAGCGATTGTGGTCGCTAATATTATCGGCTTCGGTCTTCTCGGAGCAATTTTGATCGTTAGCTTCATTATCATTAAACGAAAGTACGTCTATTACAATCTCACTATTTTGTATTTATTTACATAGATAAAGATAGAAAGCAAATTTTTTTCAAGGTATTGCTTCCAAAAATTTTGTTTAATTGTATATTTCTTTTTTGTCATTCGTTTAGCTACGATAAAAAAATGCAGATCCACGAAAAATACATGAAGTCCCTGGGTATCCTGTCACAGATGGATACTTCCAGTTTGGACGTGTGGGAAATTCCTCGAGACAGAGTAGTGATCAATCGAAAAATCGGAGAAGGAGCCTTCGGTACCGTTTACGGCGGTGAAGCTTTCTTCCCTGAGAAGGGCTGGTTAGCTGTCGCCGTGAAGACCCTGAAAGTCGGTAGCTCGACCGATGAGAAACTCGATTTTCTCAGCGAGGTCGAGGTCATGAAGAAATTCGAGCATTCGAATATCATCAAGCTGTTGGGTGTGTGCATAAAGTGCGAACCCGTGTTGACCGTGATGGAGTTCATGCTTTACGGCGACTTAAAAACCTATCTGTTGGCCAGAAGACATCTGGTCAACGATCGAAGCTACGAGGATTCCGACGAAATCTCGAATAAAAAATTGACCGCCATGGCGTTAGACGTCGCCCGAGCGCTCAGTTATTTAGCTCAATTAAAATACGTTCACAGGTGAGTCAAAATAAATTCAATAGTCTATGATTATATTATATTAGGTGTCACAATTTTATCATTTTCTTATATATTCTTTTTTTCAGAGATGTCGCCTCGCGCAATTGTCTAGTGAACGCCCAACGGGTGGTGAAACTCGGTGACTTCGGTATGACGAGGCCAATGTACGAAAACGATTACTACAAATTCAATCGGAAAGGTGAGAGGGAGACAAATGTAGTTTTTGGCTTTACATCATTATGATTTTATACGAATGTATCGTGAAATTTGTTTCGCTCAGGTATGTTACCGGTGAGATGGATGTCGCCGGAATCGCTGGCACTGGGTATTTTCACGCCAGCGTCCGACGTCTGGTCTTACGGCGTGCTACTCTACGAGATCGTTACATTCGGTAGCTTCCCTTTCCAAGGGATGAGCAATAATGAGGTACTCACGCACGTGAAGGCTGGCAATTGCCTGACTGCGCCGAAGAAAATAAAACTGCAGCTGTATGTAATCGCCTCGATGAGATTAGTTATATCGTCTCGTATATCATCCGGCTTATATCTCATCGTTTTATTTACAGCGAAAGTTTAATGTATTCTTGTTGGACCGTGGACCACACGAAAAGGCCATCGGCACCGGAGATCGTCGATTTCCTGGCGTTGAATCCTCGCATCATCGCGCCTTGCCTGGACGTGCCTCTGTCGAGCGTGCAATTAGAGCACACTGCGCAACTCGACATACAGCTGTCGGAGAATTCCAATCGGAAGTTTTCCATTTTGTGGCCGCAACGCTCATCTTCGCAAACACAGGAATTGAAGTTCCCGAACTCGCCGACCCCGCTTCTGCTGGACTTGAATGGGCAAGACGACGATCAGACTTTAGAGTCCCTGATCAGTCAATCTTGCGAGCAGGACAGTTCCAGTCCTCTGCTGGATTCCGCAAGAGCCTCGGTCTTGAAGCAAACGTGGCTTCACGGAAATTCCAGTGGTCAGGACAACGAGCCTCACAAGTACGTCAACCTTCAACCGGGTATGCTGAAGTTGTCCTGTGAGCCCGGCAGAAATGGTAGTGCCGGGAACATTCAAATGGAAGAGAGAACGTCCATGCTGCCAGAAAAGAAAAGCACCGACGACGTGTCAGTGCTCTGACGCAAGTAGACGATTTCATGAAGAAATTGGAAACTAGTCAGGTGCCTCGAGATACGTTCGATTAAAGAGAAACAACTGTACACGATCAAGGTGGGAATCCATAAAGATGGTGGCCATTCCAGAATGAAGCAAGAAAGTTAATACATACGAACGAATTTCAAGGTATTCGCCTTCATCAAATGTAATCACCGAGGTCATACGAAAGAATTTTTTAATGAGTCGACAGAGAATCGGCTCTCGTTGATGTGGCATTTTAATTAACCAGATATTCCCTTGAATTATTTGAATAGTGAAGAAACTAAGTTTAATCTAATTGATTGCGCGATAACTCCGCAATGAAAATTTTCTCTCTTCTTAGAGAATTCTTATTGCGTTATGGGTAGAACGTCTTGAAATATACTGGTAGCAAAATTCGGTCTCGAATAAATAAAAAAAATTCGACGATGAGGCCTACATAAGTACTCGTCAAAAGAATGGTCGAATGTAAATTATTTGAACGGTAAAATCTTGCTGTTAAAATGAGTCTTTGTACGTCATATGTGCAATTTGCGCGCCTAAATTATGACGTAACATAAGTATCTTCAGCTCAAAAAAGAAATATTTAAACAGAAACAAAATTTAAAAAAATGGCACATAATATCAACAAAGAAAAAGGAAAGTGTCGATCCAAATAATGTAGGATTAATACAGAGAGCATGTATATTTCTCGAGAAAACTAGCTATCGATGGCGAAATTAATCTACTGGATTCACTTTTGAGACTGACTTCCATTGCGAAATTAAGTCGCATCATCTGACCGTCGCAGACACGGATGACCGACATTATTCGTCATCGCAGGCAAGTAACCAAACAAAAGAGGAGAGCTTACTTCTCGTAAATGCGGATTTCGCGACGAAAGCAAAAGAGACGATCGACGTCGGTGCATCCTTCATCCAGCAGTTCGTCTTCTGCTCAATGCATCTTTAAGACTGACTCTCGAGATGGAAGGGACGCATCGTATATATTGTTCTTTATCCTTTTTCCTTTATTTCTTTTTATTCGAGTCACATTTCGAGGGAAAACTAGCGCATTTGAATAGATCCGGTGTTTTGCGAGTGGCGACGTGTTCGCGTTACCATGACATTTTTTTTAATCGCATAAAAAGTTCGGTAATTTTTTTATCCTTTTTTAACCCTTTCACTACCCAGTCCACTTTTTTTATTATTTCGTTAAAGTTAGACGTCTTCAAACAAAATTAAAAAATTCTTAATGAAGTTTTTTCATACAAAAATCGATATGCTTAAATTCTGTAGTTATTGTTTTACTTCCAAGATTTAAATCTTACTTCCAGATTTTAATCTTAAAATTGCGAATTACTGTTTAATGTTATTGCAATGGCTAGAAGAAAACAGGACAACGAAAGGGTTAATATAGCCTCGCGAATGCGACTACGCGTTTGTCGATCACGCGTCGCCATCGTACATTCACACTCACATCACAATTTAATTAATATCGTAAGACTAATCACGGACTGGCTGCATACTCGATCACAGATGCGATTATTTATTCATACACGAGTGGATTTCTTGCGAAAGATTTTTATACGGAATATATGTTTCTTGTTAAGGGTCCACTTAATAGCATTCTTGTATAAAGTTATGTTGCCAGATGACAGATAAAGCCCATCCTATTTTGTGTAAATAAACTCGCGTAAATATATTTGGCCCTTTCCGGTATCAATTGACAGTTCCTTCAAAACCGTTTTTTTTTCATGTTCCTGCATTCTTGATGTACATAAACACCGAAAGATGTTTGCAAAAAAAATATATATATATCTCTTATTTTCAAAGTGATAATTATAAAAAAATTTGATAAAACTCTACTCACATATCACTTTTTAAATAAGTGATTTATATGTAAAGCAAAGCGTGCCATTCGTTAGGTGACAAGGTAGCAAAAAAAGTGCAAATAATTATTATACTTGAGTAGAATTATAAAGAGCTGGAAAGGGTTAAAATTTTCAGCATCCGCTGTTCAATTTAATGACTGATAGCTGTACAACTTGTAAGAGCGATTCACCGGAAACGCATAAAGCATCAAAGACTCCAACAGAAAAGTATTTTTAATTCTCGATTCCAGTTCGTAATTTTTCGAGCATATTTTGGTCGCATTGTAAAACGTGTTTTCAATTATACGATTATATTGTACATAGTGCAATTACACGTTTTTCGCGCGCATTATAAAGCAGTATACATGATATTCATTTCAACATCACTATTCAACAATTTTACAAAGACTTATTTCATTACACAACTATAATTTTTTAATACATATGATTTGCAAAAGCTCAAATAAAAAGATAAACAAATATTATTCTACACAGATAAAATAAAAATATGTATATATACATATATACATATTTTAGTTTTATATTTACATTCGCAAGATGAGTTAAAAAGAACTATTTATTTTGAATTATTTTGTTATTTTAATTTTTTTATACTATACGGATAGCGGCTTTTTCTAAATGTATAAAAAATCGAATTTATAGCAACATTTATATGTACAATTACACACATATATATATATATATTATTTTTAAAAATATAGATATTACGCCGAACGCCACACATCGTGCGCATGTGCATCACAATGATTAGAAAATTAGTTCTCGTCATTGCGTAGATACATTTCTTTTTTACTATTCGATTGATCGAGGAACAATATTCGCGAATGCGTCGGCGTACCTCTTCGGCAGATGTAGACTACATAAGGCTCATAAAAAGGGCTTTTTACATACGTTTGTACATACCGCGACACGTTGCTATCTCCTTCCTCTAGTAGTAATTAACTTTATAAAAATAATCTTGGTGATTTTGCCAAGTATATGCGATTACTCTTAGAGCACGTATAAGATCCTTGAATTTACTCGCTATGGATTATGCCAATGTTATTTATTGTCGAATTATATTATAATTTAGTCCGCGACGAATGATATGTTCGCAGCGTACGTTCCTTGAGCGCATATTTATTGAGCTTTCTGGAATTAAATAATAATAAACATCTTTGAATTTTTTTATTGCTCACTTATGACCACTCTCTTTTATATACATATTTAATTTAAAGTGATTTCAATTTATTTCGAATATTTATATGGATAATATTATGTAATAATCATATATTTTCAACATTATTTCACGAATGTAAAATTATAATACACATGTATCATAGATCTGATTTTCATGCATTGTATATACTTCAAATTCTCTATGTAATAATTGTATATACTTCAAATTCTTTATGTAATAATTGTTGTATTGCAATTATTTATTATTAGTTATTGGAATCTTTTATAATTTTAATTACGGTTTTACAGAGAAAAATATGAAAATTAAAATAACACGTTCTAAATAAACTTACTCTACAAGCAAGTCTATAGCAGTTGTTTGCTCCTTTTATATAGCAACACGTTCATCTTCTGTAATATGTGGGATAGTATCATTCAGGCTAAAAGCTTCATTCAGATTTAAAGTATAGCATATCAGTAGCAAGAGATTCAGCTATAATAAAGCGTAAAAGTAAAACTATTTTTTTTATAAATTACGCAATCAATAAAACTATATACAAAAAAATTTAAATCACTAATTTATTAATTTTGCTGAAATAATGTAATTTAAAGCATCATCAGTAGTTACGATGATTTCAGCAGTCAATTTAAAACCAGTTTCGGTTTCTTCCGGTAGCTTGCGCCACCATGAACTATTCTTGCATTGAATCCATAATAATGCACACTATCTGTTTTGAATAAAATAAAGCAATATTAAAAGAGTTACAAAATATAAAATTAGTTCTTAATAGTAAGTACTGCAATTTTAATTTCAAAGTAATTTAAATATTTGAAATAAATTTACAGCGCGGTTTTCAGTTCATAGTAATTAAATATTAATGTTCATACGATAGTATTTTAATAATTATGCAATAATTAACGATGTACTATATTGCCGCGAATATGTTTGCGTATCAGGAACTCTGTGATTCGTAATTCGCGAGATATATACACGTGCCGGGCATTTCAGCCTCGAGCGCCATAATGTCTCCATTGTCGGCTGTTTATTTAGCGGCAGCCTAAAAAGAAAAGAAGACTGATACTCGAGAAAGCGCTCTCCCCGTACGGTGTAGGTACGCTGTAAGTCTTCCGACGGGCGACGTTTCCGACGCGTATATGCGGGTATACACCCCGCGACCGAATACCGCAGATATTCGCGATAATAACGGCAACTCGGTGTCTTCGTCGCGCAGCTACTCGCACGTACTTTTCACACGGACAATACGCGTACCTGTGTTCCGTCTGAATGATCAAAAATCGCTCGGCCTATTGTTTACGCGGGCGTACATCGCGAGCCTAGCTTCTCTCTAGCTTCTCTAGAGATGAAGATAACATCGTATATATTCTCCGGCGAACGGTGGCCACGGGGGGTCCGCGCTCGCTCTCTCGCAACAGGTCGCGTGTTCCTACCTGTTACGACTGTTCTCAGGAGCCCGGTCATTATAATGTTAAACGATTCGGCAGAGGCCCGTGTTAACGCGCCGACGCTTGCATCAACGGGCTCCTGCTCTCTCGATATGGAGCGCGGTTATTATCACATGATTCTGAAACAGTGAGTTGCTACAACGCGCTACGATATTACTATGGTAATCATATCTCCCAGGTATAAATTCGAGGGACAACACGCATACGCACATACACACTGATGCTCGCATTAGGTCATGGAAAATTTTTAAGAGACATCACGTATTTCAGCGAGCTTTTTACATCATTCTCTGATAGTTTAGACCTTTCAAAATTGTTGTATTGCAAACACGTAGATCAGATTGCATTGAGCTATCGCATCTTTAATCGAGAATGATATATGTATATACGTAGAAATACACATGATCTTTTTTCCATCGTAAGGATATTTTCGATGTCCTTGGCGATCGCGAAACGATAATCTGTCCCACAAACAGGTTTCTACAGAGACACGCAACGCGCGCTGCTTGTAAAATTATATTTGGTAGCAGATATCCGATAAGAATTAAATAATGGTCAGCAGAGCGCCAGAGCGAAAGCTCGTAACGAAGCGAGAAATTCCAGAGCATTCCCATATGTTTGTCCTCATTTAGCATCTGCATATGCGTAAGTCCTATCAGCAAGAGCATGATCTAATTAAATAAGTAATTTTATATATTGCTTGGTTTAATTTAATTAGATATAATTAATTTTATTTTAATTTCAAATATCCACGCAATGATAACATTTCATGTCTAAGACTTTTTTTTATTTATCATGATCAGATAGAACATGATTAATTATAATGTTTATCAGCCAAAATAGAAAAATTCTTTCGACCTGTATACGTTATAATGTAAGAGTTAAGCATTAAGTCGAGTACCTGCAATCAGAAAGTAAGATGTGCAAGATTGCTTTGCCGCGTTCGTTGTTACAAGCAACAAAGGTTATTAATGCTTCGCGACGTGTGTGTGACGTAATTCGATCGCAACGCATGTTGTCGTCTAGTATCTAATAGGTATTAACACGATATTACAGCGCGTGATCGTTGTGCCACGATCAAACGTCAATCGTTCCTGACTGCGGACTAGCGATAATCTCTTCATTCGATGACATTTCCTTGTCAGTAAATCCTTCGGATTAGCTTTCTGGTTTGAAACTAATTAATCTTGAATTTATTGTTCTAATCTGCCTAATCTAATCCAATCTGGATCGAAGCTATTTTCTGGTACATTATGTGCGCAATATGTTTAATAAAATATGACATTAAAACAAAATATAACTTATAAAAAATATTTTGTGTAACAAATAAAAGTTTCTTAATAAAAGTCTAAAAATTTTCTATCTTGATTTTCATGCAAAAGTTTCCCTTGTTTTTCTCAAGAGAAATAAATTTTCTACAATAAATATATACATTTATTTTTCTTTATAGCTAAATATATAAATATCTCTTTATGTACAATTATTATACATTTAGCATATAAGTATATGTATACGCGAAACCGGTTGAGATATATCAACGCATGTGCTTATAGTTCAACGTGTACCAATGATCGAGCATTGATCTCCCGCTTCTCTTCTTCCTGCCGAAAGAGAAAATCAACGCACCGACGTGTACGTTACGTTAACGCGGTTCGTACTTACGTAAGAACGTGCGGGCGTTCGTGGTTATCTGATTGTTCTCTCTGCAGAGCTGACCAGAAGTCGTTTCTCTCTCGAGAGTTATGCGACTGTCATTACGATTAAATTTTACCGCGGGGGAGGGGGGGGAGAAGAAGATATAACAAAAGAAGTAGAGATTGCGTAGGAGACATCCGCTACTAGTCTTCACACTTTACTTCCACCCCCACCTAGAACGAAGTAAATCTTTCTCTCGCTATGCCTCATTCTACTCCTTGTGTTAAATAAATTAGAAACGAATCGCCAATTAATCTAACACGGCGGCTGTACGACCACTCCCTGTATCGGAGCCGATTTTCACCGGTGTCGGAGCGCTCTTTAGCCGGCCGTAAATCAAACCGAAAGCCACCGAAGTCTGCTTTCTTCTTAGAGCGCTCGCTCGTTCGCTCGCTCGCTCGCGGGCAACGCGCTTGATCGGAGCCAACGAGGAGATCAGTAACATCATTATTATCGGCGCCAATATCGCGATCGAGCGCGATTTCCTAGCTTAATTGACACCGCGCGAACCCTAACGGGGCTACTCCGGAGAACCCGTGCGAAACCGCGCGAGAAACGAAAGTGCGCGCACACGTTACGCAAGATACGAAATTAATAATGAACACTTATTGCAGTGTGGATTTCCTGAAGGTGCCTGAATAACTGAAAGTAAGGAAAGCGAAGGGGGAAAAAAATCTCTTTCACAGCCACGTGATCGCTGGACCATAACGCGATGCAGTTATAGGATGCTCGATGCATTTACGATGTACCACGCGGTCCCGGTCGGTCCAGATTGGATTCAAATCGGTGCCAGTACCACTCGTGCAACGTCCCAAGCGCAAAATTCACGGGCGGAGAACCAGTTTGCCGATCGTCCCTCTCGCCGGTGCGCATTAACGTTATTATCGTGATCGTTGGGACACGAGCGATCGCGAACTTCACACCTTCCCCGATTTTTTTATGGGATTCTTATGGCGCTCCGCGGGTTTAGCGACGCGTAAAGTCGCGGAGAGATCGTTGGAATCGCGTACCCAAGTGGGAGTGTACGGTGTTTGCATAGCAGGTTGTTCCGCGTTGGAACGGCCGAAGGTGGGTTTTATGACATTTAAATGGG